TCTCCTGATGGCTTTTGCATGTTTACCATTTTATCCATAATTTTGGATGAATTAGTAAACGTAGCAATGGTAGCCCGAAGTTTATGTTCTCTAACCTCTCTTGCTTTACACTCGTCTTGAAGTTGAATATTTTCACTCTTCTAGTTACTCACTTCAAGTAAAGAATCTTGCAATTTTTTATTCATCTCTTCTTTTTCAAGAATTAGAATATTATTGCGCTCCTTGAGTTGAGGATGAGTGAGCATAATCTCTTGACAATCTCGCATTAGACTGCCAATAGATTCACGAGAAAAAGAAGAACTAACGGAATTGAAAGAATTAGATGTTACCTCTTCTTCCTCTGCTCCAAGAGCCATAAAGCACTCTTCACTTGAACTCAACTCAATTGATTTGCATATTAGAGCCGTGTCATCTTCCCAACTTGAGCTTTCATCACTTGATGACAATCCATTCGACTCATCATTTTCATTTGGTTCGTTGCTAACGAGAGCTTTTCTTTTGTCGCGCTTGAACCTTCGATCTTTTCTTTCGGATTTATTCGGTGTAGATTCAAAATTTATGCCTTGATACTTGCTAACGATCGGATACGGACAATTTATTTTGAAATGTCCGGGTTTGCGGCAATTGTAGCATAAATTGTTGTTTTCTTTGACTTTTTCTTCTTGTGTCGTGCGACAGACAAATTTACCACGAGCAGAATTTTTGTTGTCTCCTTTTCGCATGAACCTTTTGAATTTTCAAACAAAAAGAGAAAATTGTTCGTCAGTTATAAAATCAATATTATCTACTGACCTGGAGGTTGACGGTTGTTCGGCCATTAGAGCTGGATTTCGAATTTCATGAACATCATCATCTTTGGCCTTCATTTCGAACTCATATGCTTTGAGATCACTAAATAATTTGTCGGTTGACAAAATTCTTAGATCTCGGTGATCTCGCATAGCCGTAACCTTCATATCCCATGTAGATGGTAATCCTCGTAGGACTTTGAGATTAATTTCCTTTTGGCTAATATTTTTATCAAGGTCATTAATTTCTCCAAAATTTTGATCATTCAAGCTTCCATATCAACAATGGATTCGTTTGAGAGCATTTTGAAGTCCTCGAACTTCTTCATAGCAATAGTGAGCTTGTTATCTTTTTCTTGTTCTTCTCATTCTCCTATCTTGATGAGAGTATCCCAAATTTCTTTTGCACTTGTACATTTTCGCACTTTTGGGAATATTATATCATCACTGGCTTTGAACAGAATATCTTTGGCAATGTTGTCACGATTGTTCCTCTTTCTATCATCCGATGTCCATTCCGATTTTGGCTTTGGTACAAATTGTTGAGCATCCGGTGATAGAACAAAAGCCGTATTTACTTTCAATATTTCGACCGGGCTGTTAGAGATAACTTCCCACATTTCATCATGTAAGGCTGATAGATGAACCTGCATACGAACTTTCCAATCATCAAATTTATCAAGCGAGAATAATAGATTTTGAGCTAAATCTTTATTCATCTTCTCGGTGGATACGAGAGATAAATAATCCAATTACACACACTGGGTAAAATGGATCTGCCTAAGCTAGCAGTCAGAAATAGGTTGACCCAAAGAGACAACTTGCTTTGAAACAAATTTGACTCAAATAGGCTACAGGCTCTGATACCAATTGTTGGTCCCAAAAGAGGTAAGGTGAAAGTCTAGAGGGGGGGGGGGGTGAATAGACTTTCAAACTTTTTAGCACAGTATAACAATTGCTAAGCCATAGATAAACCAAAACTCTTAACTAGATTGTTAGATTATGGTGCTCAGCGAAAATAATAAACGATACGGTGTGTGTGTAAATTGTGTCAAGATTATTCTCGTGAGAAGCAAGCAAGAGCAGTAAGTAAAGAAAGCAGTAAAGAACACAAGGCAATTTATAGTGGTTCGGAGGTGGTCTAATCCTCCTACTCCACTTGCTCTTATCGTCCAAGAGCAATTCACTATATCCACCACTTCTTGGTTCCAAGATACAATGAATTCCGTGATCTAGTGCTTTGATCACCAAGCCCACACTAATCACGCCCAGTGCCACCAACACTGTTGCGTCGGGTTTCACGTCACGACGTTATTTTCCCAGGATTTCACGACTCCACGTTACTTTCCCCCCGTCTTCTACGCTCCGGTAGAAACGCTTCTTCCGTGATCTAGTGCTTTGATCACAAAGCCCGCACTAATCACGCCCAATGTCTTCCGACACTGCTACTTTGGATCTCACAACTCCGTGTGACAATCCAGGATTTCACAACTCCGTGTTACTTTCCTCCTTTCCCTTGTTTTGCTCAAAAACAAGTTTTGCCTTGCTTAAGACTCTGTAGATGATCTTCAATGGTGCGCTGAGTCTCTTGTAGTTGATGAAGATTCTAACACTCTTGGATATTTTTTGTAAGCTTTGTATCACTCTGAGTGTATTGATTATAATTGTCAATAAAATGATTGTATAGGTATGGTTGAAACCAAATACGGGACATAAGGGAGAACAAATAAAAATTAGGGCATAAAATATTAAATATATACTAATATTGAAGAGCTAACTGCTGATTACCAAACAAGGACAATGCGAGGTAGTTTTCCACTTCAATTTGTTGTGTGATTTGAATACTCTTTTTGTCAATAAATCCCCAAGTAGTTAATATGATTGGCTTAATTTAATATATATATATATATATATATATATATATATATATATATATATATATATATGTATGTATGTATTTTAAAACAATTATTATTATTATTATTATTATTATTATTAGTAAAAATTATTATTATTATTATATGTACACCCTTAGGTCATTTTACATATTAATCTAAACAACTAATTTTTTCAAATATCTTTTTACCAACTGTTGATATAATTCGCTGGTCAAATCCGCTAACTGCTGATTGTCAAACAAGGACATTGGGAGATAGTTCTCACTTCAATTTGTTGTGTGATTTGAATACTCTCTTTGTCAACAAATCACTCAAGTAGTTAATTTGATGGACTTTATTAATTATATGTTTTTTTAATTTTTCATGGTATTAATAAAATACTTGGTAAATAAATATATAGCATTATTTTGTATTATAACTTTGATAGTTAATTAAAAAAATAGTGCACAAAAAAGATAATAGACAATGTAGTTAATATAATCAATTGATGAATTTGAATGTAAAGAATTTTTACATTGGAGAAAAATAAAGACAATATAACTAATAAAATTATTTCTCTTAATTAATTTATTGATAATGAATATTTTTTTAATAAAGACATTGTAGGGACAGTGTAGCGAATATAATCAATTGATGAATTTGAATATAAAGTATTTTTATATTGGAGAAAAATAAAGACAATATAACTAATGAAATTATTTCTTATATTTAATTTATTGATAATGAATAATTTTTTTTTTGAATAAAGATATTGTAGACACATAATTCTAAATTAAAGAAATGCATATGTATTTTTTTTTGTTGTAGCTACTAAATTATTATTTAATTTAATAGAAGTAAAATAGAGTACTAATTATGTCAAACTTTGATTGGGATGAGGTTCGAACTTAAGACCTAGCTTTCTTATTGAAATAAATGAGTAAGTTAACGGTGAACTAACAGAAATTAACGGAAAAGATAATATTTAACGGAAAAGTTAACGGATAATCATATTCATTAAGGATAAATTAAGAAATCTTAAAGGAAAAATTAAAATCTGATCAATATGAGCCATTCATTTGATTAAAAAATTTGACCGCCATTTTTTCTTTCTATTATAGACCTAACTCTCTTGGGCTCTTATTAGTATATATATATATATATATATATATATATATATAATTACAGGATACACATACACTCAACACATTAACGCATATCATAATGTGTGGCTGGTAAGAGGGTACGTGGGATTTGAATGGTCGTGATTTTTCATGTTGAGAGCACATGTTAATGCACTCAAATCGCATGACGTCGAGTGGAAACACATGTTGTGGAAAAAGGTGCAGAGTTCACCAGAGAGCAAGATCGCCGACAAATCACAGCAGAAACCATCTTTTCCGACGGAGACCACAGAAGCATTAGAACCCGCAAACAAGAAAGAAATGGTGACTAAACCAGCTTATCATCAATTCGCACAGAAACCTATTTGTAAGTTTCCCTCTCTACCGACAGGTTCGGCACGCACCGCCACCGTCAAAGACGGGCGGATTGAAAGCCCTACGCCATGTACCCGCGGTAATGGAGCTCTACCGATCACTTGTCAAGAGGGATGCACAGAAAGAAACGATGACTAATGCCATAGCCCCCATGGCTGCTCTCAACCGAACTATTTCTTGTCTCAACGGAATCAGAAATCAGAAATTATGAAGTTTCTCGATTATTAAGAATCACTGAAGAACGGTAATTATTTGGCATGTTGGACTAGATTCTCGCTGAAGATTAGGAAGTAAATATCACATCATCACAGTTTTTATTTAAATAAATTTACATGTCAATAGTGTGGAGTGGCAACCTGGGGGTAACCTGTAAAAAAAGTTAATCGACAAATTTTTAGAGGTAAGCGCGTCCAATTAGATTATGTTTTAGTTGATTGGGGAATTGAGCACTTCGAAGTAGTAAATGGACCTATTTGACACTTGTGCCTTTCAAAAATTATAAACATAGAGTTCTATAATTATGAATATAGAGTTCAATAATTGTGAATATGCAGTTCAACAATTATAAACATAGAATTCTAGAATTATGAACATAGAGTTCAGTAATTATGAACATAGACTTCCTGAATATAAACACCATTAATAGTAAAAGAAAAAAATTTAATTGACACAACATTATTTTTCACTGAATTTTGAAACAATGTGCATCTTATTCCACAGCATAATTTGCCAAACTGAAGCTTTGTGTTTTATTTCACAAAATGAAGCCTTGTGGGCCAGCATCATTTTTAAAGCAGAACAGCCCAATCAAATTTTCAGAACGCACATAAAAGCTGCTCTCTTCTAATCTCTGTATCGTCCGCAACCCTAGCCTAGCCACCACCTCTGCTCCAGCGAAAAGCCGCAGCCCTCCTCGCCGCTGGAGAAGCCGCCATGGGTCGCGTACGTACGAAGACAGTGAAGAAATCCTCCCGCCAAGTCATCGAGCGCTACTACTCGCGCATGACCCTCGACTTCCACACCAACAAGAAGGTCCTGGAAGAGGTTGCCATCATCGCCTCCAAGCGCCTGCGCAACAAGATCGCTGGGTTCTCCACCCATCTAATGAAACGGATCCAGAAGGGACCCGTTAGGGGCATCTCGCTCAAGCTCCAGGAGGAGGAGAGAGAGCGCCGCATGGACTTCGTTCCCGACGAGTCTGCAATCAAGGTCGATCACATTGAGGTTGACCGGGAGACCATTGATCTGCTCGCTTCCATGGGTATGAGTGACCTTCCTGGAGTTGTCCTCAAGGAGGAGCAGCAGCCAGTCATGATCGCCTCCGGCGTAAATTATGGCGGCGCTCGTGGCGGAAGACGGTACTGAAAAATGAATTGGAATACTGATTAGTATAATGTAGACTTAATGCTACTTTCATGATTAGTTTCAAGTATTCTTGCACCATTTTGGATACTTTTTTCTACGGATTTTGTCAATTACTTGGTGAGTTTTTTGCTTTATAGTCCTGGATTTACTATTTTGTTCATTTCAAGTTGGGTAATAATTTATCTGTTCCTAATCTTTAGTGTCTGTTTTCTGAGAATACTGAATTCTATCTTATGCATTGAAATGTGAGCAGACAGATAATATACAGTTGTGGTTAAAGCCATGGCTTTAGTCTTAAATTGTTTGTGTTTGCACTTCATTACAGCCAAAAAATGTGTACTTGTTTTAGGCAATGGTTTTGTTAACTTACTAAATTAGTTTAGCTAGATTACTTCCCTTTGATTCTTTGTGTCACTATAATGCCATTGCATATAATGGGTGTCTGGTGTTGAATTTAGGGGTGTTCGGTTCAAGGGAAGTTTTGAGATAATATAACATTCTTAGGAATCTCACGTAACAGAGTTCCCTTGAATATTAAAGGGCGTTTGGTTGGAAATAAGAAATTAGGGGGGAAAGAAATTGTAATTCGGTGGGAAAATAAGAATTAGGTGGAAATAAAGTAGGAATTCGAATTACGTTGTTAATTATTGGAATTGAGAAGGAAATAAGTGGTATAAAGACGAAAATACCCTTGTGTAATAATAATAGTAAAGCACAAGTGTCAAATAAGCCCATCTACTACCGGGGTCAAATAGGTCCATCTACGAGTTAAACTTGTTCAATTAGCTTTTTTTATAGGTTAATAACAAGTTACCTATTTAATTATTAAAATAAATAAATAAAATAAACTAAAATAAAATAAAATAAAAAAGAATACCGCCACCATTTGTCCGGCGATGACAGCCAGTGGCTGTATTCTTTTATATATATATATATATATATATATATAATAATAATTTTTAAATTATTTTGAAATTATTTTTTTAATAATTGAATTAGTAACCTGCAAAAAAAAGTCAATTACCTGTAAAAAGAGGCTAATTGAACAAATTTAGTAGGTAAGTGTGGTTAATTAGCCTTTAATTTAGTTCATGGTGGGAATTGAGCACTTGACAATAGTACATGGCCCTATTTGACACTTCTCCCTAATAGTAATAACAACAAAGGGTAGTAATGTCATTTCATATGTTTTTCCTTTCTCAAATTCATTGAATTGCAATTTATGGGGTACCCCATGAATTTCAATTCAATTCATGGGGTACCCCATGAATTTCAATTCAACAAAAAGAGAGAATTAGAATTCTTTGAAATTGCAATTCATTTCAACCAAATTAAATTACAGTGAACCAAACGCCATGTTAATGTTACCAAAAATAAACTATAGACAATGTTTGGGAATTCCCTGCATAAAAGTCACAATAACAATATTTTATGTAATATAACATTCCTAAGAAAATCTCAAATAACGGGGAAATGTGAGATAACTCACTTTAATCAAACAGTGGTTCTTAGGCTGAATTTATCCTTAAGTTGTGATGCTTTGTAAATTGTTATTAGTTTAACTTTTTCATGCCCTATTAAGTTTAGAAGTAGTATCTAAAATTTATATATGTTTAGAAACTACATTAAAAGTATTATTAATAAAAAATTACTAATAAAAATAAGCAAAGAAGAAAGAATTGATTTGACCATAGAATATTAAGTAGGATAAATAAAATGGAACAAAGGTAGTATTTATTTATTAGAGAAAATTTCAATTTTGGTTATATTTCTATAGCAACTTTGTTAATTTCAGCACTTGACTTTTACAAATGTCAATTTAGTACATTGACTATGCAATTTTTATCAATTTTGGTCACTTCGGTCGGTCAAATTGCCGGCCAAACTTCGCCGAAAAATTTTAACAGTTAAAATAATAAGGGGTATTTTAGTCATTTCACGTCTCTTTCCTTCTTCTCCGGCGAATTCATCTTTTCCGGCGAATCCGAGGATGAAATGCGCTGCGATGCTTTTAACATCATCTAAAAAGAGAAGTATTTATTCAACATACATCATCTAAAAAGAGAAGTATTTATTCAACATCAATTTTAGCATAATGTTGATATAGAGAAATTTTAGAACAAATAGGCACCAGCATTAGTTTTAGCATTTCGCTTTCTTCTTCGAGCAAGCCTTTTTTTGGCCAGAAAAGCTTTCAACTGAAATTTTGGTAGGAGGTGCGTTGGACGAGAACAAAGAGAAGTGCAGTTCGGAAATTTCTCGGTCTGCCGATATCTCAAGCTCCCCTTACACAAACGACAAGAAGATTTCAATCGAAATTTTGGCCATCTAAATCGCCGGCGACGGCTTGGACAAATGAGTTTAAGTATGCTTTGGAAGGTGTGCTAGTGCGACGGATTCGTCGGAAAAAATGAATTCACCGGAGAAGAAGGAAGAGATATGAAATGATTAAAATACCTTCATTATTTTAACTGTTAAAATTTTCCGGCAATTTGACTGGAGTGACCAAAATTGATAAAAAGTACATAGCTAAGGTACAAAATTGATAAAAAGTACATAGCCAAGGTACTAAATTGACACTTTTAAAAGTCAGGTGCTGAAATTAATAAAGCCCCTATAGTCATATGACTAAAATTGAAAGTTTCTCTATTTATTATTATTATAATAATAATAATAATAATAATAATAATAATAATAATAATAATAATAATAATAATAATAATAATAATAATAATAATGTGTCATTGTGGTTCAAAGTATCTATGAGGTCCCTATACTATAGTATTTTGTTCAATTTAGTCCTTTTACCTTAATTTTGTTCAATTTAGTCCCTGTACTTTTAAAAGTGAAACACTTAAGGACAATAGCTTATATTTATGTATTTATTATTTTGGACATATTCATGTAATATATTGGTGGTAAAAGTAATTAATTTTAAATATTTATAAAATAATATATGAGTTGGCATGTAAGTATGATGATGTGACATATAATGTCGGCGTACATCAACTATTGTCTTTAATTGTTTCACTTTTAAAAGTACATGGACTAAATTGAACAAAATTAAGATAGAAGAATTAAATTGAACAAAGCACTATAGTACATGGACCTAATAGATACTTTAAGGGGGCGTTTGGTTCAAGGGATCTTAGATTACCCTGGTAATCTAAGAAAGGTAATGTGAGATTACATTGTTTGGTTCAAGTAATCTGAAATTGAAGGTAATGAAACATGCCTGCCACGTAGGATTTGAGGGTATCTTTGAGGTAATGTGATTACCTAATTTTTTTAGGTAATGTGATATTACTTTTCAATATTCCACATTTGCCCCTCACTCAAACTTCATGTTTTTTTATTGGTCCGTAAACAATTACGCAGCACACCATTGACAAACCCATCAGTACTTCCCTTCTCCTTATCTTAACTACATGTTGCATGTTTAATTTTTTTGCAAGTTTTAATTTTTTTTTTTTTGCCTGTTATAATAATAATAATAATAATAATAATAATTATTATTATTATTATTATTATTATTATTATTATTATTATTATTATTATTATTATTATTATTATGGGGAAAAAAGAGACTTAACTTGCTCATTTTCTTTGAGGGCATTTAGGTAATTGATGTAACATAACTTAAAATATAACCTCCAACCAAACAAGTTAATATTATATTCCTAAAACTTAACCAAACACATCAGGTAATCTTACATTCCCTTAATCTCACATTACCTTCCCTGAGGTAATCCTATTACCTGGGGTAATCTAAGATTCCGTGAACCAAATGACCCCTAACCGTCATTATGTTGTGAAAATGGAATTCCTTTTGTAAAAAAAAAAGAATAAAATAAAATAAAAAATTAGCGAAGAAATTACAAATTTAATGATGTATAAGTATGACCTCAAGATAAGAAAGTATTTTAGTGATAAAATAGACTTAAGAGCGACCCTATCAAGGGTTTTATTTGAAAGAGTAGTGATTTTTTCTAGGACCGTAAGGACGAGAAAAAAGAAAAAAGAAAAAAGAACTCCTTGGTGTGCGTTTGGCGCACTGGGTGGTTAATTTTGATTTTGACTTTTTTTTTTTCCTTTGAGAGCTTTTTTTTTTTTTTTTTTTTCCTCTCATTGTCTCTCCTTAGCCTGAAAATGTTTGAGCAAAAAAACTCACTCTTGGAGTTGCGGCAAATTATGATGTGCAGGAATTGGACCCATAATTTCTATACTATAAATCCATAATTTCTATACTATAGATTCATAATTATTGAACTCTATATTCACAATTACAAAACTCTATGTTCATAATTTTCAATGTTCATATTCCCAATTATTGAACTCTGTATTCACAAATCACTAAACTATATGCTCATAATTTGATAACTATACAGTTTAGAAATTATGAATCTACAGTATAGAAATTATGAATCTATAGTATAGAAATTATGAATCTGGAGTAATTCTACATGTACTCCCAATTTGTACTCTCATTTTATACTCCCTATGATTTGGCATGTTTTGATTGCTCAATTTAGTAGGGGCCATGATGTTTATCCATTCAATTTTTTTTTTTTTTCCTCCAATCAAATTTAAACACAATTGAGAGTAAGATTTTGGGAGTACATGTATTTTTCGTCTAGAAATCTTGCAACTGTGGTAATAGTTGATTTGATGTTGAGTTTTGTAGATTTGTGCTTAAGTGGCAATAGTCTGGATAGCAGATGATAGCTGTGTTAGCCTTTTGTAGTTGTTTAAGTTTATGTTTCGTTCAAGCTTTTGCTCTGATAATAGCTTTGAGTATCTTCAAAAAGGATTGCAGTTTGATGCTAACATTGCTTAATTCATACAATCTTATGGGTCTCCATTATCCAGTCCTGAAAAATAGCACTATAAAAACTCAAAACACAAAAGGAAACTGCGTTTGCACCAAATATGTTGCAGAAAGTCTTTGCAGAAATTGACATATTAAAGCCAAATGTTACATTATCCCTCCATGAATTCATTGTTCAAGATTTGGTAAATAGCATTATCCAATGATTTGGTGCAAATAACTTTATCCATTACAAGAGGATGAATAAGTCTGGTGTGAAAGTGAGTGAAATTGTCTATATATTTTTTAGTTAAAATATTATACTTTTTATAATTGTATAGAAAAGTATTACG